TATATACTTTTTATAACTAGTTTAATATGAAGGCAGTGATTATCACCATAAACCATAAATTTAGTTGTATTCTAACACCGGTTTAAATTAAAATTAATTAAATCATAAATTAATGTTAAATTCAATAAATATATCAATGTTTTCAATGTTGTCAACGAAGGCTTACGTCAATTATACAACATTTCAATGGCAATGGCTTTTTGGGCATCACATGAAGGGGTGTTTTATTGACTTTTAAACTAATTGTAAATCAATTTTTATGTGTATTTTCTCCTGAATTTCTCCAAAATTAAAGTCATTTTATTTTTACACGAGTTTAGGTTCACATGAAATCTAAAAAATACAACAAAACTGATATTTTAAACTAATATTAGTATTAAAATACTTTATAAAATTTATTAAATAGTAAACCTTTTGTTTTTCTTCCACCATGTTAATAATGAAACCAAAATTGACCATAGTATTTATTTTATTTTCAACCTGTGTGACAGTTTGTAAGCTAAACAATAGCGACGACTATATCAATAGCGATAATGATTACAATAACAACGATTATACCGACAGTGATATTGATAACAACACTACACCTCAAACCATCGATGACGGGGTGGACGGGGAGGGCTCAGGCGGGAACCCCAACCCCATTGACAGCTCCGCCATCTCAGACCCCGATGAGGCAGAAGAGGTGGAGGACGAGTACGACAGTGGGCAAGAAGTCTGTACCCCATTGGACGCCCTCCAGGGGCTAAACATTAGCGACTTTTTGCCCGAAGACTACGAGTCACTGAAGTCAGAGCCCCGGCATCGAGTGGTCAGACATTTTGACGAGACGTGGGGTCGGTTTCAGCGGTTTTTTAAATGGGAGCACCGCTTGTACGACAACCCAGACTTGAAAGCAGTGGCCAACTATTTGCTGGGTTTGGCCTACGAGTTAAGTTACGACTTTGCACTCGAGCCCGAGTGCTCTCTGGCCATCACTAGTTTACTACAGGGGCTCAACCGGAAGGAAATCTGGGCCTTCAAGTGTTAGTACATATAGATTATGTCATTAATAATTAATCATAATGTTTTATTTCAAAACATAAATCCTAAATAAGTATGTACTTTAATTTTTATTTTGCAATATACATGTATAGTCATTGATTCGCAGCCGCATCCGATGCCCACCGGCTTCTGGGGCGGAATCATCAGCGAATTGGGTCAATACGACCAGTGTCTGGACATCCAGAGCCCACGGGATGACCGTGGTCAAACAGTCGCCGGCCAGTACTGTATGCTACAGTTTGTGCTGCCGTACCCACTCGTCTCGTCGTACGACCGGACCTTTGAGGACAACCCGTTTGCCACACAATTGAAAAACTTTACCGAAAAATACGGTTTCGGCGGTTATTCGGCAGTGAATCCAATGCTTAAGTTAACTGAATATCTAAATATGAGAAATGGAAAGTTCTTTGAGTTCGGGATTTGTATTCCCGATAAATGCCATCCAAAAGACATTGAAAAGGAGTTCAATAGAAGTATGTGTTTATGA